CGTCTCCTGCCTCCCTAAAACCCCAAACCAGCAGCGTTTAGCGATCGAAACCCGGACCTGACCCCACGCGGGACGGGCAGGAGGGGGCCGCAGTGAGGGGTTGTCTTGCGGGAACCCAACTCTCAGTCCTTGCTGGGAAAACCTGTCGCTGTTGGTGTAAAACACAGTAACCACGGCCTTAGCGGTGGCATTTCGCCGTCTTTAGGGGCATCAGGTTTGCACGCTGCCTAGCAGGAGATTTAACGCTGTCACTGGGCGCCTTTACCTCCATTCATAAGTAACGATTACTTCTTGTAATTACGAAGCAGTTAATCGTTAAGGCTACAGCCAACTTTCTGCTAAAATCTGATTTTCCATACTCGGAAAGGCATAAAACTAAAGTACTGGGTCAACACCAACACAGAGTCTGTGTTACGGACCTGAGCTGCACGCACCGGGGTCAGCGTGTATTTGTAGCAGGCACTGGTGTAGCATTTACATCAGAGGAGTAAGTTATTTTATCATTTGTGGTCTCTTTATAAAGGCAGAGTTGAGTTTATCTGGGTGGCTGTGGAGGAGGGGAGTGATCTTGTGGTATCTTTCAATATTTTTTCCTGGGGGATGCAAAGAGGACCTTCACAACTTGTTTCTTGGTTTCCCACATCTGAATTGTGGCATTCATCAGAGAGATTTGGGCAACTGCAAAGTTAACCCCCATCCTGAGGCAGGTTTTATGGTGAGAAGATAGAAGCTTCCTTTTTTAAACAGTTCTGTTAAATTTCAGGAGGTGAACCTGCAACATACTTGAATTTAGAGAGCAGAAATGTAGCACTTTGCATGGGAAAATCGGATAAATAACTCTCATGAGCAGCAGGGAGAACCTCTCTGGCAGGAACAAGGAGGCTTCTCACACTGTCACTGGGACAGGAGAGCGGCTGCAGTGTGGTATCAGATCGTGGCGGGCAGGGCTGATTCTTGCGGCACCTGATGCCACTGGGACAGTTCTGGGGAGAGAGGCTGGTGTGAAACCAGCAACAGTCTGCCTGTGTCTGTCAAACAAAACAGCTGATTTCGGGGCCTTCTGGAGGAAAGCGATGAAGAATTTGCATGGAAGTTGTCAGATCTGTTACTTGCTTTTGGCCGTGTAGGTACTAATCTCCCAAGGCAGATGTGTCAATACATTGTCACTTTACTGGGACTGTGCCGCTAAGAGGGATGATTAAAAATACTAAAACTAGCAGGACTTCAAAGCAGCCCCATTGCTATATTCGTCTATATTTTTATGTGCTGTATATCAGAGGGAAGCCGTGCAATAGCTCTGCATGCATCAGTGTAACTGCAAGTAGGTCTGTTGCACCTTTATGGAGGAGACAGGGTTTTGACAACTAAAGATGCTACACGAATCCGTGACAGAGAGGTCATTTCAAATGGCAGGAGCACACTCGCTCCCTTCCCTCCCTCCTGCCTTTGAGGCATTAATGGACTTTTTGCCTGAATCTGGAGCAGAGAATTTCAGAGAAAACGTCTCTGTACCTCCTGAGATTTTACATAGCTTTCAATGTAATAACATTTACTTTTACAGCACTGAAAACTCTCTAAGGCGAGCATTTTCCACAATTAGTAACTAGTTTTTCAGTTCCCCTCCCAGTTTTTGAGAGAGCTGGGAAGGGGACTGTGACAGCAAGATTAAATGGAATAAACACAAAGGGAAAAGTCTATTATGTACTATACAAACTATGTAAACACCCCTTAGGAAGATCAGCCTTAATCACTTAAGTCAACAGGCAACACCAAACCCATGCTCTGCCCACGTGGTTAACCTTTAGCCAGGTCACAGTAGGGACAGTTTGGACATTAAGCAATGGATAGAGCTCGTACAAGTCTCTGACATTTTGTTCTTGTTCACTTACTAAATGTAAGCATTTACTAAATCATCATATCTTCTGAGTCACATTCAACTACTGATCTCAGCTTCTTTCTACATATTCAGTCAGTTCCCAGATGTATTGCTTTCCTCTCAACATGTCAAAGCCCTGTTCCCTGACCTTGCATCTGTTACACCACTCGTCCTGTGAGCCATGACCATCTCCTGATTGCTCCAGAGTAGCCTTTTGCATGGCTTTTCTCCCTCTCTCTCTCATCTAAGCCTTTGATTTACCCATTGTAACTTCTTTTCCGACATACGGATGGACCTTTTACACCAAGAGAGTGAGGATATCTTCTATCCTTGCTAGCACAAACCTCTTTGTTTCTTCCTATCCTTCTGCCTAAACATCTACCTGTATTTTGTCTTTCTTCTGGTATCAACTTTCTGCTTCCTCCCCATGTTGTTGTCTGTGGTAGAGCTTCAGCCAGTCTCTCTTCAGCTCCCTGCTCAAAATGAGTTACCTTGCTGTCATTTCCAAACGAGTTCTGGTGGTAGATGCCTTTAGTCAATCAGATCTCCCCAAGTTCATATTTGCTTTTACCTGCCACTGAAGGCTCCGCTGGTCTTATCTGTTTGGTTGTTCAGAAAGGGAACCTGGAAACAAAATCAAGTTTCAGTCTGGATTTTATTTCCTTAAAAGCAAGGGAGAAATTTGTCTTGAGGATCTTTTTTTAAAGATCTAGATCTGCACAAGGGACGCTAAATCATCCTTACACAAAACATCCTTAATTGTCTCTGATTTGCAGGGCAGAGCACCACCGCAACATGGCTGTACAATCAGACACTGCAAGTATAATCATCTCCAGTATGAGCAAAATAGATAGATTATGCTTCAGTATGTTTTTTCAGTATATTTTCCCTTGAGTCAAGCACTGACCACGCTGCTGCAGGGTGTTGCTTCCCAGCTTGTTTTGCTCTCTGGTGCATAGTTCAGTGGGGCAGCAAGCACCCAGTGCCCTGCTGCAACCAAGCCTTCAAGCACAGGCTGAGCTTACAGATCAGTACCACTGAAAACAGCTCTGATTTAACAGGCTCTCTGCACCATTCCTGAAGGAGCCTTTCTGCCCCACTGCATGCTCAGCACCCTCGCTGATGCTGAACAATAGGCAGAAATGCTTAGGAAAGCCACATAAGCCTAGTTGATGCAAAGAGAAATTATATAAGTAGCAGTAGCAGCAGCATGCAAAACTTCAGGGGAAGTCTCCTCTCTTCAGTTATCGTGTAGGAAGCTAACAGAAGACTGTATGGTTTCCTAGGCACAGCTACCCTTATTGCTATTTTAATCCGATGTTGAATGTCTTTCCAGGGAGAACAGATAACAGGATACACTCACAGACTGCAGCACTGCTGTCCTTGTCCCTGCGCTTTTCCCCAGCATATTTCTGATACAGTTTTAACAGCGACTGGTACAAAGCCTTGTGAAAACTGGTCCAGAGATTTAATAGGCAGTAACATCTATGTTTCTGGCCTCCCTAGACAAACTCCTGACCCAGTTGTCTCTCACCTTATTACACACAGAATCTGCTTCTGAGATCAAATATTGTGAGTACATGTGACCAGATAGATTTAACCCTTAACGATTCAGAGACATTACGTAGAGTTTGGGGGTTTTTTAACATCAAGGACTTTTCTCTTAATTCATTCATGTTACACTTTTCAATTCAAGTATAATCTAAGGGAGATAATGTAAATTGCACTCCTTCAATTTGAGTAAGTGAAGAGAGTGACTCTGAGCAGGCTCATGCTCTTTTCTCTTTTCATATCTTCTAAATTAAATTTTATATTCAAGCAATTAATATTCTGGGTCCTACAGATGGCTCAGAAAGGTAAGTGGGACAGTTAGGAAGCCCTAGGAGAGACAAAAGATCTTCTAAAGATGGACAAAGAATTTCAGGATTCCTACCTTTTTCATGCTGTCAGTTGAAATCAGGAGTGGGGGCAAATTCTGTGCAATTTCATCTGCTCCTGAATTTAGTAATTGAAACTCAGAAGACATCTGGTGTGATTGATGTGCTGCAAGATGGAGTGAAGTCACGGCCTTTTTTTTAGTGCTGTGGCATTCAGGTACCTTTTGAATGTTAATTTAGTATCTTCAATCATCATAGAAACTGAGAAGGAAAACAGAAGGAAATTAAGCAACATGTCCAGGGCTAACCACAAAGTAAACACCAAAACAAACTAGCAACTGTAGCTTCTTGTCCCAATGCTTCACCTGTCTAATGCCTTAAGAGCAGTTCAGTGTTTCCTCCTTAAAAGATTTTCATATCCATCAAATTGCTCCTTTAAAGTAGTTTTGGTGTGTGCAGTATTACTTCACCAGCCACATACTTATACATACCTATCCATCTATATAACTTGTAACTTAATAATATTGCAGAGAAAATCAAGGTTTTAAAGATTTTTTTAAAAGCCTGGCAAATAACAAACTGCTTCCTTTCTGTCTTCTGATTGATCATGGATTCATCTGACTGTGTTACTAAATGTTTTGTGAGAGCAGATTGTTGACAACACTTTAGATTTAGACATGGCCTTCCATTTATAGTTTCCACTCCTGGCTGAAATAGGAATGCTGTCACTTGCTTTTTTGCTCAGCACAGAAGGGATCTCTCTCACCTCGGCTCAGGTGAACTAATGCAAGGCAAATAACCTTTCTCACTATACATTTCTCCTCTTTTGTTCAGCTGTAACCTCTCGGACCTGTTAATGTTGCTTCCTAGGACTCTTGTACCAGGAATATCGAGATAAATCTACACGCCAGGAGATTGAAACCAGACGACTGCAGGATTCACAGACAGACCCTGAGGAAAGTTCACCCAGTGAGGAAACCCCATCGGAAGCAGAACCTTCAAGTACAACTGAAAGCAAAGCTCCGCCACAAATCAGTTTGCTGAGGAACTCCAACTCCAGGTTCAACTTATGGCAGGATCTTCCGGAGATCCGGAGCAGCGGGGTCCTCAGCATCCTCCAGCCAGATGAGATTAAGCTGCAGGAGGTAATGCAGGAAGGTGGAGTGTTTCTTAACTGGGTTGCTGCTTAAAAGAGTGAGAGTGATTTAAGTCAGATGATCAAGATTTAAAAATGAAAAGGTTCATAGCAGTCACCGACAAGCCTTGCCCTGCTGAGTACTTTTCTGTGTTGCAGTGATTAGCACCACTTACTATTTTTTTGAAACTACAGATGTTGTTCTATATGCTGTTGCTGCTGGACGTTTCTGTAGCAAAAAAAGAAGTTCTTTTCCCTTTTCTGATTCAGTGTTAGGAGTGATTTACAAAGGAAGGGAGGGATCATGAAGAGGCTTTTGCAATAGAGCTTTTAGTTCCCAGTGCACATTAATCCTTTCCTGAAGCTACTAGCAGGATGCATACTTTCCACCAGAAATCTTAGGATAATTCAACTATTAACTGTAACCTGTTTTAAATATGAAGGCATTAACAGAAAGGGAAGAGATGGAGATTGATAAGCTTCCTTATTTTTAAATGTTGTTACAGTAAAAAATAACAACAGATATATCTGCATTTTAGCCACGCGGTGCATACATCACTGTTTAAGAGTCATATGCTATTAATTTATAGGACTGCATCGAACAGTGAAAGGAGTAGATGGGGGTAGCTGCTGCAATTAATGAAAACATCAGCTGCACAACAATTTACAACCAGTTGCTATTTTAGATAGCATGGGGAGTGCGAGTGCTCTTTGACAATGCATAGCACTGCATTTGTAGCCAGCAGTAGAGGTGGACAAGCCTTGTTTAGTGCGTGGTGTGTGTTGTAATACAAGCAATGGACCTTCAAGGGCTAGATCCTGTGAGTCCTACTATACTCCTGCGCCAGGATTGCTTCTGGTGAGACCGGTGGCAGTGTATCTGTTCAGTCCTGGCTCTTGAGATTGTACCCAGAGTGCTGAAGAACATCTCAGGGTGTGAGCAGTTCCTCCTAAGTTTACTTGGATTTGCACAATCAACGTTTATGAATCCCTTGTGTATGCAGTGCCAGCCTGGTCCTGGCCAAGGCTGTAGCTTCACCATCACATTGGAAAGGCTCATCTTGTGAGCTGCAGGGGTGCGATGGGCTGGGCTGTGTTACTTACACCCTTAGTGGAAGGGACCACTGTTCATAGAGGGGAGCTTGGGCTGGCAAGCACAGGCTGTTAGCGTGTCAGGGTTATGGCTGAAGGGGACTGAAGTGATTTGTTGCTTTTCCGTGTTCTTCTGTACTGGTTGTTTCCATATCAGATTTGTTCTGTTTACCTGGCAAAATACGGTACTTCTAACTGCCAGCTTTACAAACATAGTCTGGCATCTGAAAAATTACGAGCTTTTCTTTCTCTTTCTGCTTCAAAATGAAGTCTTTTACAAAGAAGCATTTGCATAAAAGTTTGTGTTATAGATTTCAAAATCTACCGTTTCTGTTATGTTCATTACCTGTAGGTGTTTAAGGAAAAAAATCTCAGTGCTGCTGAGCCCCAGTATTAAGTGTGCTGAATTTTCTTTTCTCTGCTTAAATAACAAGAGAAATAAAGCAGATGGAGATGGGACAGTGCTGCCTTAAAGAAGTGCTGTGCTTTCCCCTGATGTTAGTTTATCAGAGCTGAAATTTTCTTCCTGTTTGTTCTGGGATTAGCACAGTAAGAGATTATAAAATTGCTCAAAGCCAGAAAGCTGTGAAATTGGCTGAACATTGAATAGATAAAGTGGAGAATTTGCTTTGTGAGGAAAAGTCAAGGACAGAAAACAAGGAGGGCTGGAGAAATCACTGAAGCAATTAAAGACACAATGTTGATTTCAGCCTTGCTATAAGCAAGCACTGCTTGCTCCTGGAGTGCTGGAACTGTACTCATGTTGGATATAAATTGGGAGTGTGAGCTGTACATGAGGGCTTGATTAAATGAATGTGAAGTGTCCAGCTTCATGAAGGAGGACTGGAGGAATTTACCTGAAGTACAGGGCAACAGAAATTCTGGCATAAATGTCTTAAGGACAAAATCATACCTTTCTGACCCATTTTATCTTCAAAGTGGTGGTAAACATAGGGACTAGAAGGTCTTGTAGGTGTTCAGCCAGAAGAGGTTGAACAAGAGTATTATTTAGACCACAGGGAGAAATGCCAATACCCGAATGGAAAGAAAGTTGAAGCAAACACCCTTGTTGACAGCTGAGGAAGGCAACACAACCATAGCTGTGATGGAGCAGGGCTTAAACAGTCAGATAAAAACTTGCTCATTTGCCGTGATCTGCAAAATGAAAGAGACAGGAACAAGAAGAATCTGGTCTTCTTTATTGGCGATGATGGAAAATGACTAAGCAGGTTATCAATACAAGATAAAAAACAAGACACAGGTGTCTTTCAAGCATCAAGTCAAGAAACTTGACTGGAAGAGCAATGGGTGCTTGAAAAAGTATCGTGGAAGGCAATTGGTCATTGTCCCCATTGGAACAAATGAGCCAGAAAATGGAGTTTCAGGAAGGAAACAAAACAAAACAAAACAAAAAAACCCCACCACATCCACCTCCCAACAATTTCAGAAAAAAAAAAAAAAAAGTTGCAGCATGGCCCATTAACCCTGGGAACTCAAACGGAATTCAAACAGCGGCAGCTTCTGCCACACCAGCCTTTTTCATCTGAAGGGAATGTCAGAGTAGCAAGATGTAAAAGAACAACTGGAAGTGTCACAAAAAATGTGGGTGCAAATGCAGAAAAAGGAAGAACAAAAGAAAAAGCAAAAGACATTACAGACTACAGAGGTCAGGGAAATATGAAAATTATGTGCTACTGAAATAATTATCAGAAATGACTAAGGCATTGGTAGGGTCGTTTTAATTATCCAGACATCTGTTGAGCATCAAACACAGCAAAACATTAATCACCAAGGGCTGTCTTTAACTATATAGAAGTTTAATGATGCAAAAGGAACAAGCCAAAAGAAATGCTGCTTGGGTTCTGACATAGAGTCAATGT